CGTCAATGAAGGTCATCCGTCAACTTAGAGTAGTGCCTAAAGATTACTTGGTGCGGCTATAAACGACTGTTAAATGAAATGATGAATTTTTGAAGGATTTTGAAAAAGGAAAAAAAGATAATCATGCTGGCCCAGCATCATCAACATTGAAAAATGCCCCGGCATGAAGTGATTAAAACACTTTGTTCTGTTGAACCGGTTGCCATGATCTATTGTATCACAGGTCTGCTCTCTGGAAGTCACTTGCGAATCTGGAAGCGTTATCGCCGCCACGTTGGCTAACGGTGGCATCTGCCCAATGACGGGCGAGACAGTCTTTGACCCTGCTGCAGTACGTGACACGCTCACTGTGATGTCGTCATGTGGAATGTACGACTACTCCGGCCAATTTGCCTTTAAGGTAAAGAGAAAAAAACAGACTTGGGGAAAAATGTTGTGAAAGGACATTCTAACTACCTAAAACTCTGCACTGCTTCTTTATCTATTTCATTGATCAAAAACCACTTTTTGAAAATAAAGACTTCCTTTCAGATTCTGATAGAATATTTGAAGAACCTTTAAACCCACCAAAGTCTCTAACATTCCATGCGTGAGACCTGTTGAAAGAGCATGGGAATAATACAAAAGATAAACCTACTTTGAATTCAAAGCTGGAGGTGACTTGCATTGCCAAATTGCTTTGGCCAGAAACAAATCCTTTTTGAACAATCTCAAAACATACTTCTTCATTATTGCATACCTTACATGAAAATGAGTGTGTGGAAAACAGGCCTTGAATTTGGTAATTTTTAGGGCAAGGCCACTTTGGCCTTCAATGAAGCAAAATTATAGAGGGCATCACGGCCAGTTGGGAGGCCACCAAGGCCAGATAAAATCTGTAAAAGGGGCATGGAGGCTAAATGCCAATATTCAGTCATCAAATGTTTTGACAATCGGAACATACACCGCATGCATGTACGTACGCACGCACGCCTTGTACATGTACATGGACCTCAATGTGAATGAATGTGAATTGTGTACCACACTTACAAGCACTGAGAAAGAAGAAGTCAGGCAACTCTGCTTGTGAAATCTTTCGCATGTACTCCTGCTGGAATGTGAGAGCACAAACAGAGGCATTTATTTTGCAACGGGGTTGTCGCTGCTTGAATAATTAGCACATTCAGGACCTGTGCTTCTATGTACAAGTGTACAGTACATGTGTATGTACACTGCATGCTTCATGTGGATGTACAAGATGTACATTCAGTGCATTGACATCAAAGCCGATGCGCGTTATCTATCACTGTCTGTGCATCGATTGTGTGAGATTTTAAGACAGCTGATCAGGGTGGCATGACGTCAAAATACACTTTCAATGGGTTTGCAAGCATCTCAAACCAAGGATTTTCATGTTTTAATAGGCTTATGGATGTTTATGGAAAAGGGCATGACGACCAAGGTAAATATAGGGCAAGGCAAAACTGGCCTTGAGGACGGAGATTTGGCATGGGGCATCTCAGCCAGTGGGAAGGGCAACGACGGCACTGGCCGTCATGGCCATTGTTCATTTCGAGGCCTGGGAAAACCAGTCAAGCTTTCGTTTAATTGAAATTAAAAATGTTCATAAAAAGAACTATTATCTATTGAAAAATAGGCCTCAATATTTGGAGACCTTTTAATAGATGGCCAATAGCACCCTTGCTTTATAATCGGTTAATGTTACTTTTTCCCCATCGGATCAGGTTGGAATGCCGGCCAAGTCGGGCGTAGCTGGTGGCATCATGGTCGTAGTGCCTAACGTCATGGGTTTCATGCTGTTCTCACCTCTACTGGACCGGTTTGGCAACAGCGTCAGAGGAGCCGACTTCTGCGAGGTGAGGATCTTGACTTCAAAGCTTTGATAATTTACTTGAAAAAGCTTACATTCTGCCTTTTTTCCTATTTCTCAACTTGGACTAATTTTTGGTAGAATTTCCTAAGAATGGGTGTTTTAGTCCAGTCCTAATTTCCATGGCCCTAACAGTCCCAAATCCTATGATTTCAATTTTACATACAACCTAACCCCCGGGTTAGGGTCAATGGAAAATAGAAAACTATAGAGGAGGTAACTTGAGGTCTGCCTTACGACTTATGAAATTTAGCAGGGTTTCTTGGGGGTGCCTCAGGGTCAAAGCTCAAGTTTGTGAAAGTTTGCACTCTTCCCTTCATCTTTCATGTTCTTACTTGAACAAATTTTCCATGGAATTTCAAAAGAAGACTGAATTTTAACATCTTATCTAGAACTTATCATTTTGTCACAGAAACTTGTCAGCATGTATAACTTCCACAACTATGACAATCTACTCCATGCTACCAAAAAGCAAGACCCAAGAAAACAACGCATCGAAAGCAAGGTGATATTTTCTGTCCTCTTTTTACTGTGGAATACGTTCATGGTTACCAAGTTTTGTTTTACATTCTGCTTGTTACTCATTACTTACTACCAAATACTCAGAGCTACCTAAGCTCAGAATATACTCGTGAGCATTTAGTACTCAGTTCTCAATGTTCACTACTTCGTGATTTCTCATTACTCAGTAAGTACTCAATGCAGTTCAGTTGTCTTTGACTTAGATAAACAGTGGTACCTGTCTCTGTGTAGGTTGGATAAAACCTAAGCACGTTTAAATCGTGCTCCAGTCAATTTCTTTGTTCATCTTTCTAGTTAATTTGGAAGGATCCAAAAATATGTACATGCTTCCCAATCAGGGGTAGCGATACCATGCAAACAAAAATGCTTACTTCACTCATAACAACATGATACCAAAGAGATGGTAAGTGTATCGTTTTCTTGACTGACCCAATTCGGATCTTAGTTTGAGTTCTTAGTTTGAGTTCTTAGTTTGAGTTCTTAGTTCAAATTCTTACATTTCTATCTGTAGGCCTCGCGAGTTGTCAAGCTCCTCTTTGCTGCATACAACGGGGATGTGAGCGTGCTCAGACAGTACCTCCTGCAGGGTGCAGACATGGAGCAGCGAGATTACGACGACCGTTCAGCGCTGCATGTTGGCGCAGCACAGGGGCATGTCGAGGTGGTCCGCTTCTTGCTGGAGAAGTGCAAGGTGGACCCAAACATGAAAGACAGGTGAGGTCAAGCACTTGACTCAGGCATTCTTGCTGGAATTAAATCCGCCAAAATCCTGCACTGTGCAGGAAACCAATGGCTCATTCTTAAAAGATTGTACTCGGAACAAAAGACCAAGCTACTGAAATTGCCAACATTTTTTTCAGTTGTTAATAGCAGAGGAAAACCGTCCTTTTTTGAGAGATTATAACACTGTTTGTGGCATTCAGCACGGGTAGATTACCTCCGGGGGCAAAGTGCTCCAGTGATGAGCGATAGCTACCGCTGCACGCTAATCTGGTCCCTATTAAGAAGATGTCAGTAGCGCACTGTGCCAGTTTCAGGAACAAAAGAAAGTTACATAACCCCGCACAATCTGGCCTCTTTTTACAAGGCGGCAGGCCTGTCTGAAATACTCGGGCATCAATAGATGTTGTCTGTCAGATTAGAGTAGCCACCAGACAGTCATCCGTGTGGGTTTGAAGAATTTTGAAAATGGAAAATCTTGAAAATATCCCAGGTTTGCATCATGCAACTTCAAATTTGACACAGAGGCAAGTGGTTAACAGGCTGTTCTGATCATCTCTTGCATTCTCCATTCATTCAAAGAGGATTCAGAAGTTCAAATCTTTTTTTTTTTCAGATGGGACCGTACTCCAGTGGATGATGCCGAGAAGTTCGGACACACAGAAATTGCTGCATTGCTGCGAGCGGCTGCGTCATCCAGGCAACTGTCCTCCTAGCAACCATTTTCTGAGCAGCTGCCTTTGCAATTCCACAACCACTATTCCCAAAGCAACTGCCTTTCTCCCCATTACAGTTGTCATGGTGATATCATTCCCAGTAATTCTAACATGATCCTCGCAATCAATCCAAAACCTGTTTCCTTTGCAACTACCCACCTACATGTACATGTAGCTAAACTGTGTCCCTGGCCACAGTTTTCTAGTTATCGTCCTCGTTGCAACCATTGTCCTGACAACAATATGGGGGGATCCGCTTTCCTAGCAACCACCCTAGAAACGTCACAGCATCCATCATTGTTACAACCATCTTCTTAGCAACCGTCATCTCAGAAACAATCTTCCAAGGAGCCATCCTCTCAACAAACAATCCAAGCAACCATTTTCCTAGCAACTATCCTGGTAACCATTGCCTTATTAACAGTCATCCTCTTGGCAAACAAGCTTCCTAGCAACCGTTGTCATAGAAACAGTACAATTAAGTCATCTATATAACGCACTTAATACTCACGATGTATTCACAGCACTGAACAATAACCAAACAAAAGAAAATGGAAAGAATCCTCAATCAAGTGACTAAGTGAAGTACATACATGTAAATTAGTCAAATATAAACAAGGAATAAAGAAAGCATGAATGTTTAATCAAATATACATGTACACGTATAGACTTTCTTAAGACATCCAAGGAAGGACTCAGGCAGATGTGCTGTACATGTTTATTCCAGAGCCAAGGTGCCTGTGCCTGGAATGGATTGTCACCAGCTACAATTAGATGTTCTGGGTACATGAAGCAGGGTTGAGACCAGACTTAGAACGCAGGCCAAAGTCTTGTAGAGATGCAGTGTAATGAGGGTGGAGACAGGTGCAAGCTTTCTTGTGAAGACTGTTGTAACCAAGAATCAGAAGTTGGGAAACAGTCTGTTGTTTGATGGGCAGTCACTGCAGACAGTGCAACAAAGGAGGACATGTTTGCATTGTTAGGCCTTGAAAATAACTCATCTGCCCATTGCCAGCTGTAATCCCTCTTTCCAAATTGTCATGGTTGACTTTCATGATGTAGACTTACCAGCTCATTCTTCAAAGAACACCATCACAATGGACTACATGTACATGTATATTATTATTACAGTTGATGGGTCCTAGCTTTTTTCTTTTGCAGAATAGATGTATGGAAAAAATAAATTTTGCAGTTTTTGTTCCATGTATGAATAATGATATCCTATGTGAATTTTGTAGGTAGTTTCTTTTTAAACATACAGATTACATATTTTTGTACTGCAGACTGTTTGGTGATTTTCAACAGCGCCCTCAAGAGTCGAGTATGAGACATTTTTACCAGTAATAGAATAAATGTCTTTGTACTTAATGTACAGACACTGTCTTAACTTTTATAGCAGATTTTCATTATTTTAAAGTTTCAAAGCAGATAATCATGTTGGTGGGGAAAGCAAGAGGCCCAAACTTTTGTGGAATAGGTGCAATTGTCACTCTTTGCTGCTTTGTGGATTTTGTTGTCATTTATTTTAAGTTGTGTACAGTAAATTTGCTTTTGGGTCATATTCTTGTGGGCAATTAATACTTTGCTACATGATGTAATGGTATGGTGTGGGGCATTGCACAATTTGGGACTACCTCTTCATATCCAACTGCACTTACAATTCTTCTATTTTATTGTAGAAAGTGTAGTTGAAATCCTTCTGAAAATGAATAAGCATATTCTTATTTGTAAGCTGTGCTGTTTAGTGCCCTATTCAGGGGTGGATCCATGATTTAAAAAGGGGGGGGGGCAAAATTGAAATGTTAAGGTCGCAGCCATAAATTAGAGAGGTTGGTTAATGGAAGCAGAACTGTTGTTTCTCATGCATTTGTCCCGTTTATGGGCTGGGTTCCTCCCTGATTTCCCCCTTCCTCCTTTTCTTCCCTTTTTATTTTTTGTGAAAGAAGGGAGGTGTGTGCCCCCCTCATGCCCCAGGATCCTCCCCTATTTTAAAAGAAATTAATGGCAACATGATATTATATATCCTGAAAGGGAACTTAAAGTCATCTGTCTTTGCTTTGTCTTTTAATATTGGGAAATTAACAAACTTTACACATTCATGTATTAAGATTTGACTGACCTGGTTAATGCTTCAAGCCCATGGTTTTATCTTTCCTAATGACTGCCTCAGTGTCCCATGGTGGTACTTGGCCCAAACTGCCCTTATTTTTAGAAAGTTTGTGTTGTTTTGTAGGGGTTTCTGGAATTTCAAGTAAACTATATTGCATTGACAGTGCCATGATCCCCAGCAACAAACACAATATGCATGAATATTGCACACCTAAAGAGGGAATTTTGAGAAACGTGAATTGCACTGAATGTAAATAGAAATGTCACAGGTTATCTTGTTCTGTCTTTCAGTTACCTGCATTCAGTCAAAATGTTCTTTTCCATTGTCTTCCTTTCCATATGCCAGGGTAACTTTTGTTTTGAACTGCAAACTGGATAAAAAACTTCAGAAATCCCAACAACTCCAAAGTGAGCAAAAGAGGTTGGGTATTTCTCAAGTTTGAACTCCATTTCAAATAAAAATTGTTGAAATAAATTCATTGAAATCTAAAACACTCAAAACAACTGGTTTGTATGTGTCAAATATTTTTTCAGCACATGTATTTTTTAATATATATATGTTGGACTGCCAAAAAAAATCCACACTTTTTTTTCAGTGGTATCATTTTTATTGCATTCATCATAAAATGTCCAATTTTCATTTTGCTGGAAGAATTTTTCTTCTTTTTAAGTCCATAATAAAATTTGTAATTTATAATTAATTCATTTAAAGTAGTCTCATTGGCAACGTTTGTAGAAATTGGAAACGGTGGATGAAATTGACAAAGAAAAAATTAAAATCATAAGGAAAATCTAGCACAAAAAATTCCTAAACTTTCCATCCATAGTACAAGAAGGTGACTATGGTGGTAACATTAAAGTCATAGCTACATGTAATTGCACATAAATTAGTTCAACTCCTCATAACGCAATTGCATCATGAACAAAAAACAAAAATGAGTGGGACCAAAAAAAAAGATATCTTCTAAAATATACAAACTTTCCTCTCGGAGTTGGGTAAAAATGCAAGACAAATACTTGTCAACTGTGGCACACTGCCCTAAATAATTATTTAAAAATCCCTTTTCATTTTTACTCTACTTTGAAGGAGATCCCCAAAATTCTCGTTGGTATGGTACAACGCAACACCATTTTTCAATAGAAATTTACCACAGACACCCATTACTGGAGAAACAGTCATACTATGTTAGTTACATTCATGTACATTTTACACAGAGCAATACTTTCTTGTTATATCATACATGTATTTTTATCCCCCCCACCCCTACCCCACATGGCCACTCCCTCCCCAAGATCCTATCAGGGATGAGATTTGTCCCAATTTTTTTCCTGACTTCCAGATTCTTTCATGAGGCTTCCCCTGATGTCAGGAATGTCAATCGCTTTCAAGATGTGGAAAATCCTGAGTTTACCATTAAGGCTGGTTAGAGCACAAAATGTCAGCTTTTTCAAGGGGTACTTTTCAACCAATGACAAACACAGTATACCATAGACCTATGGTGCTGTGCAGCCTTTAAAACCTCTGTTGATTATTTCATGGATATTTTCTTCTCAAATCCCCCGTCCCATGCTTTTTCGGTTCATTCTGTATTTGTGACCAAGGTAATACATGTTCTGAGCCTTCAGAAATTTTGTGAGAAAGCAACCGTGAAAAATCCTTGGGCAGGACACAAACCTGCAAGTGAATTTCTGAAGTTTGTTTGCTCCTGTTTCATTCTTTTCCATTTATACAGAGTCAGAAATCACTAAGCTTAGGACAAACCTAACAATCTTTCTAAATCTGAACATTCAACCAAAGTTCAAGTTCAGTGGAGAAACAACTGAACAGAATCAATTGAAACGGCTGTGAAATTAGGCAATTAAAAATCTGGAATGTCGGGTGCATACATATATACATCATGCTCTGGGAGAAAAAGGTGCAAGTCTTTAACCTCAGACTGTACAAACCAACTGAAAAAACTGTAACCATGGTAACATTAGCTTCTTTTAATACCAGTACTTAAGATTACACCCACCAGATTTCAAATTGAATAAATGCCCCATTCCCGAATAAGAAGTGCGCAACAACTGTTGAAGCTTTAACAGTCTTTGTTATTTATAAGATTTCTACACTTCATTTATCACCACTTCCATTAAATTCTAATTAAAACATTGGCATTCATGGAGTAACAAATAACACAATCACATAGCACCATTTTCTGGTAATTCAAACATTAAATCAAGCTCTCTGAAAACTCCTGGATTTTTTAATGCCAATAAAACAGACATCAGGGTACAATTATTTCTACAATTTCCATAACAGTTCAGTTTCTAATAGGAAATTTGGCTAACATTTTTTGCTCCAAAGTGTTGACAATCCCGAAATGGATAACCTTTTTGATTTAGTGACATACTGTACACAATGAAGTACTGGACACCATTCTGTGATCACAAAAAATGGGCAATTTGCCAAGCAAGTGTTAGAAGTGGGCTCCAGACAAAGCAGGTTTTTCAAAAGTTATTTCAAATTGCCAAGCTGACATCACAAATAAGCAGTAGACAATAAAAAAAAGGTTTTAAAACAGTGAAACAAGTCATTTGGCTGAAGATTATGTCAAATTCAGAGTACTTTTGTCCAAAAGAGAAAAGACAGAAAAGTTGGATGATCACTGTACTAGTATGTGGTACTTAAAAAGCCTGCTCCTTTTTAAGAAAAGCGCCCTCTGGCACTGCATGTGACTGCCACAAGGTACTGGTAACACACAGACAAAAACCTACATACATACTGTAGATCTGATACACTTCTCATAGTACATGTACACAATATGAACATGAAAGTACTTTTTATTAAATGCCAATACGAATTTGTCAAATTTCTACCAAAAAAGGGGGGGCAGAGGGAATGCAGGTCAAACTGAGGTCAATTTCTGTTGTACTATTCTATAAGTGAACATTTCAAATGCTATCTAAGTATCACCGAGTGGGAAAAAACAAGGGAATCAAAATACACATACATGTGTGCACCCTTTCATTCAAACATGGAATAGCCAAGTTGTATTATTTACATATCAAGAGTGGGCGGGTCCACTTTTTTTCGAGGTATGTCTGTACTGAAAGATTTAATACTGACTGCAAAGAAATGGTTGTCATTTCAATCAATAAAAACAGAGATAAAGGAACAATTTGCAGAGAAGCAACTACAACCCACCACATTAAACGTCAATCCCATAAAAGGTCTAAAAACGCTACCAAAAATTAACAATAAATAAGAATTCTGCGTCACATTTACATACTTAACCAATATTACATATTTCTAACAGAATATCAACCAAAAATAATAAATATGAGTTGAATCTCAAGCTTACTCTCTTTGTGCAACCTACACTTCCCAAACCTAAAAAATAAAACTTTCTGCCCAACATCTTATCCCAAACCAACTTATATAACCTTTCACCTTCACTTTTCCACTCTTACAATGTAGCTGCAATATATCCTTTACATGTCATAATGTACCATTTACATTTTAATGATTAGAACAACAATGACCTTTGTACATAAATACTAATACCAGAGGCTGGAGCCAAACCACCACTGGCACCAGACTAAATGTTACAAAAATTGTGTCTGAAAGCCGAGGATACGCATGGAAGTAACATATGCACCCATGGTTTGTCCTGGCTCGCAGCTGCAGATGATTCCTATAGAAGTGTGCATTAAAGCCAAGCCAGATCCAATAGATTCAGACACGGCTATTACTGTACTGCTGCTGTGGGCACCTGCGGCCTCTCTTCACAGAGGGCGTTCCCCTGCACGTGGACCTCCAACTCGCCTTCCTCAAGGCCTGATCCCTCTTCGCCCCCTTCGGAGATTGCCAACCCCTCCTCTCCGCCCTCCCCATGGGTCAGGCTGTGCCGGCGCAGGTCACAGTTGCGCCGGAAGACCTTGCCACAGTGCTCGCAGCTGTAGGGCTTGATGTCGGTGTGGGTCAGCAGGTGGGTCTTAAGGTTGCTGCGCTGGTTGAAGGTGCGGCCACAGGTGGAGCACTTGTGGGGCGACTCCTGCAGGTGCAGGGTCTTGTGCACGGCCAAGGTGCGTGCCTGGCAGAAGCCCTTGCCACACTCAGGACACTTAAAGGGTTTCTCTTTGGAATGGATATACCTGTACCAATCAAACAAAAGAAATATCAACAAATAGGATTTCACTTGTCAAAGCCTACTCTCTAGAGATTCAACTCTGCAAGAATCAATCTACATGTACACATTCTAGTACAACTTTCAACTTGCATCAACCTAATATGGAATAAGTGGCTGGGCTCTACCAGTACCTTCCTTGATTTTCAAACAATCTCTAAACTCCCCCCATGGATTTTGAAAGATGAGGGAGGGTTAGGGTTGATGTTTATGAACATGTTAATGAACAATATTCTGTTTAATGGGTACATTAAAAGACAAACTGACAACACAGATATATGTGAATGAATGTATTCTGACATATTACTATGAAGTTATTATCGCATGAATACACTGAAAAACTCTGGATTTTTCTAAATTTGAATATAAATGGATATTGAGAGTTCAATAGCGGAAGTTCCATATCACGGTGATCTCCATCCCCTCCGATCCTGCTACATGTAGCTTTTGAAGGATTTTGCAGGATTGAGGAACATACGGTAGAGCACAGCAACTCTCTTTATGAGATCTGATACCTCCTGAAGGTTTGAAGAATCTCCCTATCATATTCCATGGAGTGGTGGCTTTTGCATACAGGATCTGGGAATGTTCCAAGCAAAAAATTATCCCCCCTCCCCCAAAAACTACAAAAATAGCAACAACACGACGAAACAACTTTGCAATTAACCATTTTTCCTCCAAAAATTTTGTCTACAAGAGAATTTGTATTTCAGAAACACGCTTCAGAACAAGGACCTGAGAATTAAACAGAGATAAAGCAGGTGGAGGGCGGGTTTAAACAGCAGATAACACAATCAATTTCCCAGAAGTAAAATTGGAACTTGGCCATTATTTACATTTCAAAGGCACCTGTTTTTAAGCCAAATCCTTGCATTTTAAAACAACAAAAACTTCAGAAGCTGCAGTAAATACCCAACTACAGGTAAGCACTGTTTTCTAAATAAAGCCAGTCTGAGCTTGGATGAGTTTAGATGTCTGCCCTAAACAAAGAAGTGCAGTTAGTGCCCATGACCGTTTCGGCCCCTGCACTTTCAGGGGTTCCTCTTTCCGATACTGTGACAAATTTGAGCCTACTTGCACTCTCCTGTCTGGGCACGTACTGGTAGGCGACTACAAATATCTGGGGGAGGGATGAAAGTGATTTTCAATATTTGATGGCTCTTTGGTGTACAATTTTTACCCATACTGGATGACTTTTAATGACTTTGATGACAAGGGAAAATCAGGACTTAGGGAAGCCTACTTAGACTCACAGCCTTTTTGAGAGGGGCTAGAATAACTTTTTCAAGGGGGAGAGGATTTGTAATTACCCCTTACACCCTTACGTGCCTGTAGTTTTTTCCATCAAACTATATTTCCTATGCCTGCATTGCCATCTGCTGCTTCTAACAAGTCCAACTCAATAATTTTTTTTACATTTCTAGGTTGGTCATATTCCATTTTTTTTTCATCCTCACACGATTTCACACCGAATGAAATGGTTGGAGCTGCGATACATTGTTGCTGTTTGCAAAGCAGGTTCAGCTCGTGTGGGGTTCTACCACACAAAATAAACACAATTATTCAATAAAATGCCAACCAAATATGATAACATAAAAAACCCTACAAAACAAAAACAAAAAACACTTCACATCAACAACTACCAACCAGTATTTTTCCGCACAAGTGTTGGCCCACAAGTATTTACAGTTATGAAAATTAAATCGAAATAAAAAGAGACAATCCCGAAATAAAGACAACTAGCCACATAGGACCATTTTTATTGAGTATTTTTTTACAATATTGTACTACTTTTTGTAGATCAACTGATAAAAGTAACTTTATTACACAGTGCAAATACAGGTACCTGCAAAACCTTAGGAGGAATATCTTCTGACTGCTGCATTGATGGAATTTTGAATGGGGAGTGTAAATTTCAACGGCGGGTTAACTCATTAAAATCCATCACATGTATGTGCTTGACGGGTAATAGATTGAGAACTACAAACTGGAAAACTGACACCAATTATACTTGGCAATGGCATGGTATCATGCATGGCAGTCATGATACATGTACGCCACCAAGGGCCAAAAGAGACTGTGGCAGTGGTAACATTGTCAGAGACATTGACAAAGAGAATGACAATGGCTCACTGGATGCAGTCAAACTGAATGGTGAAAATGATAAATGACAATGATCTTTTGAATGGCAAATGTCTACACTGACAAATAACGACAATGCAACTGCTGTAAATGAAAGTCGCAACAATTTTCACCAACTCTGGCCCAAGAGACAATATCAACAGTGACTCATAACCATGACAAAAACATGCGTATCCTACAAGATTAATGACATGGACAAACGTTTACAAAAAATTTCTACTGGTAGTGACAAAATCAGCGTAATGACAACCTTTACGGTGCCATTCAGTACCATTCAGTACCATCCAGTGCCTGCAAAAACCCCACACAAATTGAAAGGAACCCAATGAATGAAACGAAAGAACATCCAAAATTTCAGTAGTGTAAAAAGGCAACCGATATTAACTTTGAATTCAAAAGATGCCTCCAACATCTGTTGCAACATGTCAATTGGATCAAACCATTCAAACAGCCTCAAATCAATAACACAGCCAAATAATTAAATGTCAACTCACATCTGAACTATTCTTATACAAACCTCCATTTAGAAGAAAAACAAGCCCTCAATACAAGTAACTTTCTAGCATCAATTCTGAAAAAAACAGGGGGACTTTTGCTCAAGAAAGGTAGAAAAACAGGAGAGGGAAGTGGTCAGGAGTGGGAAGAACTGAGCGCCAGGTTTGGTTTGAGAACTAGCTGACCTACCCATACACTCTGTTGCAACTAGGCAGCCCGAGTAGCAGCGTCAACAGACGCCTTTGTTGGCGCAGGGTCCTAACGGCTGCGCTTGGGGGAAGTTGGCGAAAAAAAAAAAACTCAGATAAAAATCTACAAGCTCTGTTCGTGTTGGCTCTCCAACCAACAGACTGAGGATGGAAATGTCCCCTAACTGCCAGTTGTTACTGACAGTCAGGACAAACTAGCTCGCTCCCAGGAAAAAGAGGAACCAAAACAATTACAAAAAGAACAAGAAGTTTATTTTTCAGACTTGTGTGGTGAATTCAGAAAACTGGAATTAACAGTAGTTTTGCAGTTTTCACTGGTGCCACTGTATACTGTGCGTACTGAATGTTTCAGAACTGTTATTCTATGCTTCTGTCACACATTTTATTCAATCTGATGGCTTGTTTGGCATGATATTTTGTAGTTTTGGGTTCTGCAAAACTGGAATAACAAAAACAAAAGTACTGAAAAACTTCATGAGATCAGTAGAAAACTGGATAAATTTTCTCATTTTAAAAAACAAAACAAAAGACCCAAACAAAACACTATTCTTTACAATCCAATGAATGCAAGTGTACTATTCGTCCTTTAAATGCAAGAGTGACATGTCTTTCATGTGGGGCATGGTGCTCTTTGTGTATCACTCCAAAGTTGCCTTCACTACATTGTGATTACATGTACATGTATATGCGATTCAGAGAAAACGAATACATAGAAACTTGTAGAGTGTGCAAGTCTTCTCACGACTAGCCAGAGGGCACAAATCAATGATCTGTAGGCACCGACTGGCCCGCCAATCATGCCAACACTTCAGGCTCTTACTCAACACTTCCCACACAGAATCAGTGGCCAATGATGGCCATCTGAGCCGTTCTTTTCTCTCCTTATCACTGGGCCATTGAACGCCACTTCATACTTCCAACCGGGCAATTGTCAGACAATCCTCACCCTGATCGAATCTCACTTCCGAAACTGCCCCCTCGTTGCCAGTACAGAGTGAGATAGAAAAAAAAAAAAATCAGCTAGCGCCAACGACTGTGCACTATATAACACTTCAGGGCAGACGACCGCGCACAATAACTGGGGTTATCTGGTGTCTAACGGGCCCCAATATGGGGGGAAAATTGCGATAAGGCAAGATTGGGCCGTTATTCGTTGGTTAGTAGTAAGCCACATGATTGACGGGCTTGAGAGTTCATCCAGATAATGTCCCAACAAGCATCGGTGGCAAACGGTAGCAAATGCAGACACCAGGCGCCAAGTATTTTGAACTTTACTTCATCCATTTTATTTTTTTCTCATCTCTCCCTTTTTTTGTTTCGTCGACGCAATGGGTGAATCCCAAGTCCACGACGAGCTCGTGCAGATCGAAGCTTTCATCGTACGAGATAAACTCATGCCATTCACTGTCGATCAGAAATCAAAAGGTAAATGACAGATACGCATTGTGAAGTACAACAAAAAGCACTGAATGACTTGTTGGCGTCAGTCTAGAAGAGTTTCAACCAATTCATATGCTCACTTAGGAAACATTTATCCTTGCACTATGTGGAGGACTACCAATTTTAATCACAAACGATAGTCAGGAATGTATTCCTCCTCAGGTAAAGAACAGCTGTCAGCCTGTCGTATTGATTCTTTGAAAACTTAAGAGAGCCTTAAACCCACAAAGCTAGCCTAGGAATGACCTTTGAACTCAGTGAGCATGCAAGTTGGCCAAGAAAAACAACTGAGATTGGTTCTGCATGACTAAAGGATCTGAAAACCAAAATTCTGAAGTTTGCAAGAAATTTTAAACAAGAGACAGGCATCAGGAGATGCACAAAAGACACAGAAGTCAACAGTCTTTAAAAAGGAATGAAAAAAGTCAAAAGAATCTCCTCGTTTTTCTTGCATTTATCACAAGCATTTGGTGATGCACTCGAATGCTGTTCGGCGGAAGTCTGCCATGGACTCGGAAGACTGGGAGAACGTCGCTGTGACAACTGATAAAAAAAAAGTCACTCTCTGCACAAAACACGACAGCCACCGACGAAATTCAAGAGTCAGAGATCTGATGGAAGGAAATTCATCAGTCTATCGGTAAAATTGCTGATTCTTTTTTTTCTTCTTCTCAAATCATCA